TGTAACTCAATACCCTCCCATTCCTTTAAGTGAAAGGATACTCTTCCAAGGTTAGCCAGACCAGTGTACATATCAGTAAGAAATAATGATGCAGAAGCTGTCTATTTTTCTAATATGCACATTAAAGTTTGGCTCTGAGGGTAGCTGCTAATGGAAATATTCTTGGCCCCAGCTTCCACTGAATAGATTAATGTGATATTCCTATAAAAGGTCAATGTATAGAAATATTCAAATTCACTGGAAAAAGCAACTTCTACCCAAATGTAAGGACAAATACAGGATAAGCTTTGCAGCATATATAACATTTGGATTTAATAAGGAAATATAGTTTTAATGGTTATTTGTATCCCAGCCCTTATTTGATGCTATACTGAGTGCAGGATATAATCTCTGTCTCTAAACGGTCGTAAGGCAAGTTCTACACACCTCACTAGCTGCAGGTTCAGTTCTTGGGTTTACAACAGGTGTCAGTATTCTTTCTGGTCTGTTAGTTATTATTTCACATTTACCAGCGTTTCCCAAACTCTATTCATTAAAAAAAAAAGTTTGAAAAAATTAAACATAAAATTAGAGTATATTTATTTTGCATATTATTGAATTTGGATTAAATATTTCAGATTCTGTAGTAGAATAAAAGGCCTTAAATATTTCAGCATAAAAAAAAGTTAGCCTCAAAGGAAGAAATCCATTATGCATAAAGATATGATATTTGCAGATACAATGCAGAATTAATATGCAAGCCAGAACACACAAAAATCAGGGAAGGAAAGCACATGAGTGCTGCAGCAGAGTGGTAAGTAAGTGTATTCACCATGGACTCCCGTATCCAAATAAGATTAATTTAATTAAATGGTAGACTGGTGATCTCTTTTGGATCCTTCCTTTCTTTTGTAAACCAAGAAAGAAAATTAAATGAGAGCATTCTCTGACTGAGAACTTCCCAATAAGGAGCTGGGAGCAGCCTTAAGGAGACAATTTGTTTCTCAGGCATTTTTTAGGCAAGGCAGATATGCTTGTTTCAACCTGAAACTGCTCTTGCTGGAATTCTTAGCATTCCATGTGCCAGCAAACTTCTCATATTGTGTTCAGGAGGCCCAGAGCTACAACAGATCTCTGCCCTTAGCTCTGCTCAGTGTCAGTTAAATGCTGCACATCGGACAAATATTTTCCTGCTGTACTGGAAAAAGGGGCAAATGAAACCTTACTAATAGTGTCTACCTCAAGAGTGAGGTTGGACAGAGTGGCATCTTTTCCTGGAGCTGAGATTAACAAGTCCTGAAGTCTTCTCACTGCTTATTATTTTCATAGATCAATCTAAATTACAGTTCTGTGTGGCTGGTAATCTCTTTAAAATATGAGGCAAAACCTGTATTTCATATCAGAGAAATAGCTTTCCAATGGGAAATCAATGAATTACTATATCAGTTGTAAAATTATACATGTTGATAGGTGAGGACAGCAAAAATGAAATATTGATTAGCTTTTTTAATGTGTTTTTTTACCTTGAAGATCTGTATTTTGATTTCTAAAACAATGCTGAAATTGCTTGGTTTCTATAAAAGCCTGTCTTCATGCCTTATCATTCTTCTGTGTGGTACAACTAAAAGTACCACACCGATTACCAGCTGTAGAAGAGCTTCCCCATTTGGAGGCTAAGCACTTCTACGACATTAAACACACAGTTTTGCTCAGCTCTGCCAGGACTGTGGATAAAGCCTCTTCTCTCATATCTGAGTGACATCCATGCACATCATCAAGTGCGAGTCTTTGTTTTTTGAAGTGCTAGAAACCTGGTGCTCTCTATTTGTGATTCAACAAGCTGTCTCGGCAGGATTGTGAATCACCTCGATGGTTGTTGCCTCATATGTCTTATAGCCATGACTTGAGTCCAGCAGCAGAAATGCTTTGTACGGTGTCTATCACTCACCTCTCTGCTTTGGAAAGTAAAAAACCCAGGTTTTTCTTTGGATTCCTTGAAAAATATTTTGTTTTCTGAGACCAAGCTTAGAACTTTCTAATATGAAATACCAGGTAACCAGCTTTCACCTGTGGCTCTTACATTGGTATGTACATGCATTTCTGGAGTAGACGAAAAAGAAGTCCTGCCAGGAGGACAAATAATTTGACAGAAAGTGTGCACCGTATACATGTCTGTGAGATGCATCAGTACTTACAGCCCTGCAAATTCTCTTTACAATACTATTGACTGTGCAAAGCAAAGGGGACAGCTGCCTATTCAGTAATGTCACCTCTAAATCAGCAAGAGCCCTCTCTTTTGGCTTATTCAGTGTGGTCATGTTGTAATCCTATGTGCCTGGCAAAGGTATTTAAAACTTCCCAACCCCTAAATGAAGTACCACAGCTGGGAGGATGGCCTCTGTATGCTACTTACAGGGTTTGCAGTCAGAGACAGGCTCCTGCAGGAGAAAGTTTAATACACCCAAGCTAAATTCTGCTAAGTAAAACATGTGAATACTCCCTGATATGACTGTGAAACAGCAAAGCAATGACTGTGCTCCCTAGAGCATCTGCAGTTTGTCTTATTTCTACAGTGGCTGTAACTGAAAGTGCATTTAGGCTCCTGGATAAAAGACAATAGCCCAGTAAAAAATCATCATTGTTATTAGTGGTTACTTACCTGGAGGTAAATTTGGTTCGTATAAACAGAAGTCATGGTCTCTCACTCAGCTGGGGCTGCCCCTGTAACAGATTGGCATGGTGAGAAATGATATTCAGCATGTGGCCAGAGCTGCCCTGGTTTGTCATACAGCCAGAGAGCTGCCTTGTCCCTGTCCCCAAGGCTCTGTCCACATTTCAGACAGCACTGTATGGTGGCAATACTCAAGCTTGTTTCAAATCAACAAGGTCAGGCTGCAGGATTTCTGCAGCCCAAATAGAGCTCTGCAACATAATCTCAGCCTCTTGGCTGCCTCAAGAGGGAGAGATGAGGACATATCCACCATAGACCCTTCACAGGGGAGGACTGGAAGAGGCTGGGGCATGGAAATCTGCTGTAGTAACCACTTTAGTGGTATGACCTCCCAACAGCCAATATCATGCATAATGCTAAGCTAGATTTGTTACTGCATAAATAAAGGCAGATGGGAAGGCAGGCCAGGGACATCTTGCTGTGGATTGCCTGGTCCTTCCCAGTATGATACTGACCCAAGCCCCAAGATAGAGGCGTTCCCTTTGGTTTGTAGTGCTGTCAGGTGCTGTCGCTTTCTTCTGGACACAGAGAGAGTCTGGCCTCCTCTTTGTGTGATGTTTATTTTCCATAAGGCTGAGGAAGGGAAGGAAGATCGTTCATGTCCAGACAGCAAGGGAACAGCCAAGAGCTGACAAGTGGCTTTGGGTCCTGCAGTTTGGAAGTGGCCTGCATAATACAGCTCAATTCTATGTGTTCCAGTTTGCTCGTTTGATGCTCAGATGGGCACCCAGTAGAAACTGTCATCAAGTTCAGTAATAGGAATGAGATCACAGGCCTGTAGGGAAGATTAACTTGAAAATGTTCGGAAATCTTCAGTGAATTACTGCTACATTCCTTAATTCCTTTAGGACTATTTTCAAGAGTAATCAAATGCCACATCCTACATGTTACCCACCTACCAACTGGTAACAAAGCCTGCAGCTGCGTGTCTGTCACATACTAGTTGATCAGTACTATTTTTATAGTGTTCTGAAGGCATTAGTCTCTTCATATAAGACAAAGTCCATTCGTCAAAAGGCTTTTAGTGGGAACACACTGGGAGAAGATTGCAAACAGTGAAGAAAGTGGATGAGTCAGGGGCAGTCAGAAGAGCTCCATTCAGACAAGCAGACAGTAGGATAATGCAGTCAGCTTTTTAAATTTACATAAAAATAGGAAGAGAAGGATGCAGAATCACTGCAATACTGTCACTGCTGTAATGAGATGGGCAGGCTTTCCAGTGGGCCTGAGACTATGGGAGCTTGAAAAGGAAGGGAAGTGTGCCTGTGGGGGGGACAGCCTGGCAAACGCACACTACACAGATAATAATTATGAATTATCTTAATGCAAAGTTTTCATTCATTACCTCAAGTACAAGAAAGCAGATGTTCTGAGCCATCCCAAACATTGTATGTGGCCACTTCAGGAAGGGAGAATGGCGCTACTTCAGTACAGAGATACAATTGCTTGCCCACACTGCAGCAGATTTCATTTTGGTAGTACGAAAGGACTCCTGCTTCTGTCAGAAAAGGTGCTTTGTTTCCTAGGCTGACGAAGTAGCATCTTAAGAAGCAAATGTAGGCTGAGGTGATAGGGTGTATCGTGGCATGGAGCAGTTCCCCCCATGTAAATTAGTGGATTCTTCTGACTCATGCCAGTGAGAGCAAAGGGACAAGAACCTGAACATGGCAGAGGATCAGCATGAGACTGGAAAAACCTACTGGAGACCACACACCTGGTCTGGATCTTGGTTATATGTGTGCAAATTAGTTGTGGCTCCAGCAAAGTCAATACCTGCCAGAGCCCTGCTTTTGTTTTAGATAAAATTAGAGATATTATTTCTGTAGGGCTGAATGCTCCACAGGAAGATCCATGGGCAGATTTTTGGTTCACTGTACCTGAAGAGGTAGTATTCTTCAGCCATACTTTTAAAATGTAAAAGCTACAGTCTGCTACATGTGCTTCTCATGATTTGATATGAATAATCAAGAAATCTGATTTTCTGTTTACATAATATCAACATTGCTGTTTTTAAGGGTCAAAAAAGCAGCGGACATTCAGATGCTGCAATAATCAGTAATTTAAAATGCAGGAAAGAGAGAAAGATGTTTTAGAAGTGCTCATTCCTCAGTTTATACTTAATTTGCTGAAGATATGCTGCTTTTGTAACGGATAATCTATTTTTGTGCCTGAGCATAATTAGAACTCCTTTAAAATCTGATCCATAGTATTTGACCATAACAGAAAGAAATCCTTTCATAGCCATAAATACTCATGAATTCTAATTAACTATGTTTTAATCTTTTGGCAGAGACAAGGATTGCCTAAAAATATGGGAATCATTGAAAGAGGCATTCATTTACAAGAATCCCTGTAATATTACATCAGAAGATTACCAGCCTTTAACGGAGTTAGCGAGTCATCCTATACCCTGTAACAAGGTAACATTACAATGCATGGTGGGCTGCTTAAGTAGGATTGTTGAGGGATGGAAAGTCTGTGCAGGGCTCTGAGTGATGGGATCTTGTCCGTAATGATTGTCAGGGTCTGTAGGTCCATGAGGATGGTATTTTGCTCTTGTGCTTACTGCAACAGCCCTGCAGTTATCACCTTTGGGCTCGAATAACCCTGTTAATTCTCCAGCACTGGAAATCATCACTACGTAAGGCTTGAATCAAACCTCAGTACTGGGGTGATCCTGGTGAAGTGATGGAGATGTCCCTGTTCCATGAGCATACAGCTCTCTGTAAGGAGCATGTGGTCATGCTGTTAGAGGTGCACTGCTTCCGAAACACTGGTCTTCCATGTGCAGTTCAAAAGCACACTACAAATTAGGTGTTTATCCTATGAGAACTAGTCAAAACCTTTCTTTAAAAATGCTTTACAGGCTGAACACTTCCATTTCCACAAAAAATAACCACCCAAAATCATTTTGGAAATGGGAATGTGGGCTGCAGAAAAAAAGAACTGACTCACTAAGGTGAAGTTGCAGCATTTCAATAGAAACTAAGACTCCTTCATTATCATGAAAACTTTTCTGTTTTCTCCAAGAAAATTTCCTGACCAGCTCTAGTATGAGTTATTCATTCACTTATTCAACTTTGTACCTTATTTCATAGTCTCTGTTTTGGAGCAAGACAAATGACCTCGCTCATCGTTACACAAAATCCAATCAAAACTTCTTTACCTTGGAGGACACCTTGTTGGGTTACATGGCTGATAGGCTTTCATGGTGTGGAGACCCCTCTGCCCCAGGTAATAAGTCCTATTTTTTTACAAAACAAATATGAACATTTGAATTCCAGATTATTCTTTTCTCTTGTATATCTAGACCTAAACACAATCCTTTCCACACATTCTTTTCTTGTAATTCAGTTTAAAATCTTACTGTATTTCTGTCCCCTGTTATGGAAGACTGAAAATAATACTTAGATCTTGGGTTAATTCAGAAAACACAACTTTGGCTGTTATTAAAACACCAAGTTGCTTCTTAGACTAATGGTCACACCTAACCCTCTTCATCTAGTTTACTTGCTTCCTTCCTGTGACTTCTATGGGACAGATTGCAAAACAAGATTGCCATTCAAAAAGGTTCTGGATGTAAGCCAGTCAAAGTGGCAAGGGTATATGCAGGTACCCTGGAGTAACTGCTGCCTGCATGACTCCTGGGTTGGTGTTTAAAGCTGGCATCCTCTAAACTGGGCTGGAATTACTGAAAACGTTGGGCAAAGTTTAATTTTGCAATGCAATCAATCAGATGGTGTTTGTCAAGAGCCAACCTATTTCTCACATTTATGACTACATGTCTTCCCATGTCAGTTTTCTGGGAATTATTTGCATATGGGGCCTGTAGCTGCCTCCCTGAAATGTATGTGAGCATACAGGAAGACCTTTGAATGCATGCAAATTCCTTTTCCTCTTAGAACCCTTGACTTATGTAGCCTTCTTGCTTTTGTAGGGGCAAATCTTCTGCCATCACTAATAAGCTCTCAAAGCCATATGAACATTGCAACAATAATTGCTTTAACCTTAGCTATTTACAAATGTATTTCTTCTCAGGAATCAACTATGAATCTTGTCCAAAACGAAGTGAATGTGAAAGCAACCCTGTCTCTGTGTTCTGGAAGTTGGCATCCAAGATGGTAAGATCTAGAATAAGTATCCCGAAATCCAAGAACATTGAAATGTACTAAGTTCCTGACACTGCCAAAAATGCAAGTTTGCAGACAGGTCTTAGAGAACATGGAATAGTAAAAGTTCACAGGAGCTTTGGCTTCACATGCTAAAAATCACGGCATTGGAAATTTGTATTTCAAAGGTCCCATATTGTATGTACAATATTTAAGGTCACTGTAGTTGGAGCATTTTTATTTGTGGACTGTGTGCCACTGTCTAGAACAACATTTGGCAGACAGCTGGAGCTTTGCAAATAATGCTTACAATGATAATAATCACCACCTTCACTAAATCAGAGGATGGAAACTGCTAAAACAAAATACATTTTGGCATTTTAATGTTGAGACCAGTGCCCAAATTGCCACAGGAACATTCAAAGCAGCAATCCTCTTGCACCTTCCTGCATAAACCAGAAGAGTATGTCTTCCCACAGCAATATCTGGCAAGGTTCCTACGATATCCCCCCCCCCGTATGCACATGCCAACTGCCATCATATGAATGAGACCCTGCTAGTCCAAGATAAGCAGTTAGTCTGACATTGTTCAATCAGCACTTTACATGGGAAAAGTGCCAGGAAAGAACCTGCTCTCCTGTATCAGTTTAATTTTACACGTCTCTCAAGACTTCACCCTTGATATGACTACTAGTAGCTGACTGCCCAGGTGGAAAGTAAACATTCTTGTGTGCTTCAGCTCTCATGTACATAAGAAAATCTACTCATTGTAAAACAAAATTGTTTCGTGGGTAAACTAGTGCACATAATTTTTCCAAGGTCAAAATAGTTTCTATGTCCTTATTAATCACCTCAGTTCCAGAGTCCAGGAGGGATAAACCACCACACAGAGCCAGGCTTGCTCAACTGCAGGCTTTCTAGTCCGAATTTAAAATCTACTAAAACTTATGATTATTACATTAGAAAGTTACATATAATGAAACTTTCCTGCAACTTCACAGCTCCTGAGATTTGTGTTTGAGCCAAATTATTTAGACGTAAGACTTAGATTTGATAAATACAGTCCCCTGTGTTAAGCTTTTTAAAAATTCTTTGTCTTACTAATGGATTACACATCTAGTGAGCACTTTACGTTGTAAACTTAGTAGTCTTTAAACATTTCGACATGAGTTTTAGAGAATAAAGGAACAGTGATTACATGATCCAGTAATTCAAAAATCAAATCAGACAGAACTCAGTGATGAGTTTGAGTAAAACCACTGGGGAGAAAATTCCCAAGCCACAGAATAACACAGCATGAGTCACAAGGTAATGAATATGTGATGGTTTGCGTGTCCTTAAACTAGTGGTACCTCTGTTCTGGCTCGATCTCACCACTGGAATTAAAGCAGGGTTATTCCACGTTACTACAGCTTCATCAGACAGCTGAAGTTGCTGGGGCTCTGGAAAGCACTATAAACCCTGAAACCAGCAGTGACAGCCAAGTTCCTCTACTGATCACTGCAGTCTCAGAATGCCACTTCATATCTGGCTAATTCAGCTTTATCACAGTTTTGCCATAGCCTTTAGAGGCTTTTCTTTTTTTTGCACTGACATGTTCTGCAAAAATATTGGCTGCATCCTGTACTCACATAAGTCAGTTCTGATGACATCAAAGAAGTTACAGTAATTTCTACGAGCCCCGAGCCTGGTGTGGCTCTGCTTGTACTACCAGAATATAGTGTCCATTTGCTTTGTTCAGTTTGCAGAAGCAGCATGTGGTGTGGTTCAGGTGATGCTCAATGGATCAATAGAAGCTGGAGCTTTCAAAAGCAGCAGGTATTTACTCAGCATGCTACCATGCACGTTTCTGTGGGGCCTGTGAACATGTCTTTGCAAGTGAGCCCCAGTGCAGAACAGATTTTGGTAAACACATATAGGGGTCTAAACCTTGGGTTGTTGTAGAGCTGATTCACTTAACTCCTTCTATACAATGACTGTGGTTGAAATCTGTCAGAGGATATTGAGGTGGGGTAACCAGTATGCTCTTACTGCACAGAGTAACTTAATTACATTTCTAACTGTTTATGGAGTTGAATGGATATTGAAAGATACTGAAGAATATGTTGGTTTGGGGGAACAGCCATGTTCATTTCCCTTGCTCCAAACCAAATCAATAGCAACTAAATCATATAAGAGAAAAGGCACTAAAGATGGAAAAACTTCAGCTTGTTTCAGTCTGCAGATGGTTTCAAAGGTTCTCCTGAGAGTGAAATAAGAATGGGGAGAAAATATTTACCTATAAGGCAATTAAATAGTCTATGAAAATCCACTAGCAAGATAATGTTCTTTCACTGAGAATAGTAGCAGCACAAGTATTTGAGTAACATGCTCTGTACATCTTTATCATATAACTAAGAATGTTTTGCTTTTTCATGTCCCATTCTTACAGCATCTTTGGAAGTATTGAGATCTTTAACCTAAATCCAGATAAAGTCTCTGCAGTACACATTTGGCTTATGCATGACATCGGTGGACCTCAGAGGTAAGTCACATGAAACAGCGAGCAGTATGTGGAAGGCAGATGGCACAGCTCAGTTCTGACAAGGGACTGTCTAACAGTACCACTGTCTTAAAACCTGCTCTACATTCACTCTCTTAGCTGCTTACTTTATTGTAAAGAATAACATTCGTACTGTTGTTTTCTTTAGTATTTTTTCTAGGTACTCCTGAACTGTTATAGCTAAGACACAATGACATTTCCTTTGCTTTCAAGAGGTCCCATAGCCTTTACTTTCCTTCCAACCTCACTAGGCTCTACAGACCTTTAATGTGGGTGCAACACGGAAGTCACAGAACAGGCTACGTTCGCAAGGGTGAACACTGGAAAATATGTTTGTCCAGAGGAATAGTACAATTATGCTGAGCAGAACCATTTTTGATAAAATAATTTCAAATGCTGGAACAGGTTTCCCAGAGAGGTTGTAGAGTCTCCATCTGTGGACCCCAAGTGGGTCCTGGGCAACCTACTTTAACTAATATTGGCTGGACTAGGTGATCTCAAGCAGTCACTCAGCCTCTTGTCAAAACAGAGTAGAAGCAGTCACAGACTAAGTGAAATGGATAGGAGGTGCTCGTATCCTGCTTCCACCCACGTTTTCTATATGCTTCATCCTAGCTGGATGTCCTACCTGGGACTTAGCTGTGGGTTTTCATGATTTGCCCTTTCTCATCACACAGAGGACTTGATCCCTTTGTCCTTCCAGAGATTGAATGAGCTTTATGTTGTACTCCTGTGGATGGAGGCCACCAGCAGCTCTGGAGCAGTTCTAGAGCACACTGAACTGTGAATGGAACTGAGTTATTTCCCACAGGTATCTTCCTGCACAAAGTTCTTGTGCAAGATGCACAGCTGGATAGTTTCTACCAGCAAAGGCCCAATGGTATTCAAAACTCCACTCACCAATGGAGTTTACAGCACACTAGCAAACAAGCTTTTAAAGAATCTTGACTGAAATAAAGCAAAGTGATATAGTGTGGAATGTAGCTGAGCTTCTTGTACACACAAGAACACAAGTAATGAAAGACTTTTCTCTCCAGTGAGTCCTGCTCAGGTTATTCCATAAAGAGGTTAAAAAGCATCTTAGAAGAACGAAACTTTCAGATCACCTGTGAAGACAATTACAGGTAATTACTTGCTCTTATTGGTGATGACTTGTTAACATAAAACTAATATTGCATCTCCCTCTTGACTCAATACAGGTTTACAGCAAGCTAGAGCAGACTCCCCTCTTACTGCCATCACATCTTTTTGAAGTGGCTGTGTGATTCTCAGGAATTTCCACTCTGGCTGCAGACCAACACATGTTGGCTGGGTCTGGGGCTTGCTCTCTGCCCTGCTTTGCCATTGAGCAAGTTCAGTTGGCAATCCAGCCTCCTTCAACAGATTCTCATCTGACCAGACTTTTGCCCACAGTAATCAGAACCAAATAGGCAGCTTTCCTCCTGCTACATGCAGATAATGTAGTATGTCAAGGATGGTCCTTACTTCCTTCGCTATAGTTTAAGCTTTCTATCCAGCTGCTTTGTCAGAGAGTGAGGAATGAAACATGATAAGCATTAGTAATTACTGTAATTCACCAGCGTCAGAAAAACAGGAGTCCGGGAAAGAGCAGACCCAGTTCTGACTTGTCTGAAATCTCTATCTGCCTGCTGAGGAGATGGAAAAGCCTGTGATCCTTTATCCCTCCGTGTGGTTTCAGAGACCTTCATAAGTGTTCTTTAGTGACATTAGAAAAGCAGCAAAGGTTCAATATTACTCATATCTTATCTGTCAGGAACAATTTCTCAGAGTGAAGAATTCATATGTGGGTAAGAACATTTCCAAAGTAAACAAATATTTCTATAAACCACTGAACTCATTACATTAGTTTTAAATAAGGAAAAGTTGGTCTGCAAAGGAGACAAACACCTTATCTGGTGATAGAACTTTAATCTTGATGGCAGAGCAATATATTCCTGTTCAGGTATTGCTGAACATGATTACTGGGTCCTCTGAACATTGGGAAAATATTGACGCTGTTACGGTGTGTGCATCTGCCAAACTATGTACTCGCTTTCTCTTTGAGCACAAGCAGCCTTTAACCAGTACTCCTAGGGCCTGTAAGTAGGCACAGATTATTTCAGCCTATGATGAAATAAACTAGGGGACCAGAGAGGAGGGGGAAGTATGAAGGAGCTTAGATCCATTGTGGCTTAGCGCAAGGAGAAACCTGTAACACATCATGAAGTGCTGTTGACACAGTTATTGCTGTGGATCACAACTCGCTTCTTAAGACAGAATAACAAGAAGAGATTTTTGTCAGAGCTGAACTAACACAAACATAGACAACCGTGTAGAGTGACACAGATAATTAATTTTAATATTCTTTATAGAGATCAATAATAAACTAAGCAATTTGCATGTGCAGTAAAACTCTTCAGGATAGACCATATAAGTTCTCTTTTCTCCCCTGTAGTAATTTCAAACAGAACCAGGTGGGTCCCTATCAGCTGAGCATCTGGTTTTTCATGTCATGTAGCAGTTGATGCTGATCATTTTCTCTTGCTTTTGCCCATGTCAGCAGTGCCTTCCAGAAGTAACTGAAAAAATAGATTTACTGGATGTACTTTAGCAAAAAACCTAATCCTATCTTATATTGTTAGCAACAGCTTTACATTACAGCAGTAGGGATTACCACTGAGTAAGGAAGATGGTGAACTTCCAGCATGACAGCAACTCTGTAATCTGTGCAAGAGACCTTACTTCTTTTTCATAATTATTTTGTTATCACATCATAGCTGACATGCTGTGAGTTCACATCCTACTTTGTTTTGTACTCACCTGCTCTTGTCCTTAGCCCCTATAAACACCAAAGTTATCTTTCCGCAGCAAGATCTAAAAAAGTATATCCTAAGACATCCACTTGATAAGCACAGATGTAACGTGCATGTAGTAACTGTGGAGCTATTCTGTTGTACTTGCAAGTGGTTACTTAATTTTTGTTTGCCTTTGTGTCTTATCATAGGCCAGTTCAGCTCCTTCAGTGTGTGCATAACCCTGACCACACAGACTGCAGACTTTGCACCAACTCCACGGCAGGTCCATGAAACGGAGTCCTCTGCACTACTGAAGTTAACTGTGTGTAAAGCTGGAAAAGGTGTGGCTACATAGCTTAGGGTGATAAATAGTGTGGTGTGTACAGAGTCCATAACCAGAAATCCTTGCTGTGATACTAACAGCCAAATAACAGCAGATGATACTTTAGGTGTAATGAACGTACGCACACACACCCCACACACTATTTCAGAGAGGCCAGGGGAATGTTCAGTGGTTGAGGGCAGAGGCTTTGCCCTCGTTTGCTCCCTCCTGTACAAACTCCACTTGTGCCCAGGGGCTCAGAGTCGGATTCCCTGGGGTGTGCGCAGAGAAGAAAAAGAACTTCCAGAGGCAGAACTTGCTGGCATCAGCACTTAGCTTCCTTCTTGCTGGAAAGCTGGACGGAAAATGACCAAAGCATGCTACATTCTCCCTGCATCCCAGGGCAACATCCCCCAGAGGGGAACAGTGCCCCATGGCACATGGTATAAATCATGTTTCTCCCAGAGACTGTGGCACCCCTGAGCAGATAAATCAAGCAAGGGGAGAGGCAGAGCATTAATGGGCATCACAGTAAGAGGCTGGTGGGGAAATGACTGACTGAGCTGAGCCAAGAAAAGATCAGAAACCACTCAGAGGGTTGCCAGCAGCTGTAAGGACATGTCAGGTGTGTAGCTAGGGAGAGAAAATAGCAAGACTGACTCAGACAGCCCCATTAAAATCCTACTGGAAACACCACTGCAGTTCACATTACATTTCATTCTTAATATAGCAGCAAGTGTAAGCCTTCCAGCTTTCAGAAAAGGTCCCTCAGGCCACAGCTTGGCCAGCCACTGGAATAGAGACAAACATCAAAGGGTTGCCACAATAAGGAGTCTCTCTTGACCTCTGTTTCTGAAGTGAAAGGTGATGCCTTGCAGTGTATAATTCACACGCATGGACATGCCGTAGTACACTGAACCAGCAGGTTTCATTGATTTCCTTTGATTTCTATTAGACTGCTCTCACATGCATAGTCAACTGCAGGTTTATAACAAAACAAAGATCTGAGGCCAGCTTGTGGTCATGGTTTTAGTGCCTTTGTGCAGTGCCATCAACACTAAGAGAACTGAGCAGGTTTTGGTACAGATATACTCCCAGGTGTTGCAGTGCCAGTGTAACTAGCAATTGTCAGTTCATTAGGCAGACCAGGGTTTCCATGATCCCACAGGCAGAAGGTTAGAATGCTCTATGTTTTAGTGACCACCCAGAGTGTGAAGCATCTGTATGGAACTACACAAGCTGGTGTAATTTCAAGCACCTCTAGAGGACCCTTTTTTCTGTAATAGACAGGCCTGCACTGAGCACAGCTGGACCAGACCCAAGGCCTCACCCATAATGTTTACATTAAGTGAAATGTATTTTTATTTGCATTCTGTTGTGCGATTACTTAGATGTATCAACACATACCAGTGCTTTCAGATAGGTTATTTCTGACTATAGGTCAAGAGTTTGTCTTTACACTCACTTTTGTACCTCTTCTGTTGTCATATAAAATGCTGACTGTAAAATCGAGATCTGTAATAAAATTGCTGATGGCAAACATTGTTAATTCAGTTTCACATTCTACTTAACCTCAGACTGAACATGAAAGTAACTCCCTCAAATTAACTGAGAAATTCATTCCACATATGAAAGTCTATATATATCCACCCAGGAAAGCAGTGAAAGGACACAGTGCACATCTTCTCCAGGCTGTACTCTCACTACCTCACTCTCCATCTTATACAGAGAAGTCATTGTCTTTGTAGGTGTCTGGAAGTGAAACATCCTGTGTCTATCTTGAAAACAGATATCCAGGTATATATGTTGCTCTCAGACATATTAATTAGCAAAGATGACTCTTATCAGTGGTTACATAGTAAAATGCTAAGGAGCAAATCTGTGTTACTGAAAGCTGAGGTGAACACTTAATATAGGCAACTGTGGTGGAGTAAATGACAACTTTGTAACACAGGTCCCAGCAAAATGTCTTTCTTTTACAGGTATGTAAAATGACACATCTTAACAGGGAAACTTGGCAATAAACACAATCAATATTAGGGAAATAACTGAACTTGCAGTTGTCTGGTTTCACTCTGACTTGTTACTCTGCTGCAAAGAGGAGCTGCGGGTTTTGCGGATCTCCATTTGGGTGTACTGGGAAGAGGGTGCAGGACACTAATGGTGTGTTTGCTTTTCCTCTCGTTACCCCTTGCAAGGGGAGAGGAGTCAGCCCAAGCACAGTGGCTACCGCATGCTCTGGATATGCCTCAGCGCCTTTCCCCAGCAGCACTCCCAAGGCCTGTATCGACCATATCCTGCTGCTTGTCCTTCAGGAGGGAGCATTAATGTTAGCCCTCTTTATTAGTACAGGTGCACCACAGGTGTACATCTGGCCCACTAATCCACACTTAAGCCTATGATGCTCAGATTACATACATAGCAGAACATGAGCGAGCCCATTTCCAACAAGCATTTTTATTACCTGTGATCACACATGTGAAATGCCATGCTGACATGCCCTAACACACAGGTATAATTCAAATCCTATTGCTCTGCTGAAAATTTATAAACCAAAAAAACTTTGAAACCAATACAAAGTGTCCCAAATTCACAAAACACTAAATAAAAGAAAAATAATCTGTGCGTTTTTTCTACTATGTGGAAGAAATATTTCTAGATATAGTTTGAAATGTTGGGTTTTGAAAATATGCTTTCAAACTGATGAAGGTAACCTCTCTCTCAATCTGTTCGAGATAAATGAGCTAGCTGTGCTCCAAGCCCACAGCAAACACTGTCAAAGAGCACTGCCCAGAAACCCAAGAGGAGAACTGCCCAGAAACCTGAGAGGAATCCGAGCTATGTGTGATAAGGTGATATCAGCGTTATGTACTCCCAGAAAGACAGCCCTGGGAATGCTACTTCTATGACTTTATTAGCACAGCATTGCAGCTCCCCCAGTCTTTGATGTACTTATCCTGACAAGAACCTGCAATTATTAAACTTATTTTTGAGATTAGGAAACAAATGAAATACAGAAATACTTGTTCTCCTTGCTAGCCATCGCTTGGCCTTGGGCTTGATTTGAAACATGTCAGCCTCCCTTAGGGTCAGGCCATATGCAAACAGGCTGAATTCCACTCAGCCCCTTATGCCTGTGTATCCTCTTGCCTGACCCCAGGTAGCTGCCCCTACACATCACTTCAGCCTCCTGAATCCCACCTGTCAGGGACCACTAGCTGTCTCCGTTGCTTATGTGTAGGGACACGGGTGAAATTAATGACTGACTATAGGCTTTCATTTAAAATAACAAACCTTATGAGCCTAGAGAAAAAATTGAATACTGGAAATAAAGGTTTAAACATGTGAAGGGCAATAAATCTTATCTGCAGCACCTTTTTTTTTTTTTTTAACCTTTTTTGTGCCACTTTTTTTTGGAGTCCAAAATTCTTAGTGCAGTGCTGTAACATGATCTGTGGGGAAAAGTTTTTGAAGAAGGGGGTTTGATTTTGTTTATATGTGTATTTGCAGCGTATAGTGCAGCGGATCTGGGTTCCCCTAGACACTGGCAGTATGGGAGTGGTTTTAGATGGGATCCAACATAGCTAAAGTACTGCAGGGTCTATCAGTCAGACCCAGAAGTTTCCCCTTGCTTAATTTGGGATACCTTCATGTGTGTATCTCGGAAGATTCCCTCGTAATCAAAACAGTGACCCTCAGACACTGTCTTACACAAAAGAGCTCAGTAGAAAGAGTAGAAAAAGGAGATCAGCAAGCCTTCAGGTAGGACACTCAGCGAACAGGCTGCATCTCAGAAACTCTCTCTTAATAGCAGTATCATTTCGAGTCTTAAGACAACAATTAAATGTGCTATGAGCCTGATCCTTCCTATTAAATAGTTTGAAAGGAGTAATGCACTAGCTAATCCAAGAAAAAAAACACATTTTGCACGTAAAACATGAAGGCTGGTGAAAAGATAAAAACCAAACAGTACGGCTGAATTACAGAAGCAAACCCACAGTAAATACAACACAAGCCACAGTAGTGGCAGAAAATGATACAGAAAAAGTCTAGCTATGTAGGTGGATCCTAATGACCATACTGTCTACCTATAACCTTGGCATGTACACCTGTATGTCCTCAAAACTGAAGGGCTGTATCTGGCACTTGACTAAGCCACAGAGAGCTGTGCAGGCTTAAGAAGTCCCCATGCAGCCTTTGCAGTTCTCTCCTTATCTTACAGAAGTATCCCTCTGTTCTGCCAGCACAAATGCTTCACTAAACTCCTGATGAACCAGGACAGCCAAATAGTCTGGGGTAATACATTTTTCCCTGCTTGGCAAAAAAAGGAGCTTAATATCTAGCTGAAAAAAAAAGGGAATCAATGGCATTTTTGTTTCAAAGTGTATGTTTATTTTCATCAGTGCATTGTGGAGTGGGAGAGAGCAGCTGCCTGCACACTGTTCCTCCTTTCTTGTGTGGCACTGCTTGCTCAGATCAGAAGAGCCTAAGAAGCACACACAGGAGCATCTGCTCCACACCAGCACATTTCACAGCAATACTGCTAACTTAACCCTGATTCCTTTCACTACTGGGATTTGGGTGTACACTGAGGGATTGTAGAGTGGAGGGGGTTAAAATCCATACTAAATACATTAGACAGGATTAGTACTATTCAAGATTAATTGCCTCATTGCACAGACTTCCTCTATAGTTAAAGGGACAGACCAGGTACCTCCTGAAAGCAGTTACCCTGCTCTGCACTGGTGGGATAAGAGACTAGGAACGATGTGTGCTCCAACATAAGCTTCTTACCTCTCTCCACTGGATATGAAAGTTACCTAGATTATTAGCTCAAATTATAAAATTAGCTTCCAGGTGGCTAAAGTTGCATAAAACAAATCTCAGACATAGAATGTTTCCCTGTGAGAAATATTCCTAAACAGAAAAGGACATCTGAACATCCTCTCACAGAGAGAGATGAAAGGGTTTGCAAAATATTTAAGAA